ATGGGAGGTCTGAGTGAGCATGGGAAATGGTTTGAGGGTCTAAAGGGTTTGGGAGCGTGGTGGGGAAAACTGGTTCACATGCCGGATGGCGGGGAAAGAACAGGATTACTGCGACGTGGCACGCGGATGTCCAAATAGAGAAAGGCAAGCTGGTGCAGGAGGGGGAGGAAACCACTGCGAGTGCACTGGGTGATACAACGTTGATGTGAGAGGAGTGGAAAGCAGTGGCTTTACGGGGGAGTTGTCCATCATCGTAACAGTTTTATATATTTTTCGGTAATGTGATACATTTGGTTTAAGCTGTGATTAGAGCGTGCTGTGTTGAGACCTACTTGCTGACTAACATTTTTGTTTTTAGAGGCTGCGGCATGAATGGAAGCGGTGCAAACCAACTCATGCTAGCTTGCCGGAATCAGACCCTTAATTTTTCAACTCGAGCTCTGTTGGTAACCACAAATTTCTCCTTCACGACACTCCCAGATTATGCATATTCACATTTGGTGGTTCAAAAATTTTGAGGGATAAAAAATGATTGAATTCAGCACCAAATCTGTGTAAAAAGTTACATAATGGATGCTACAAAAGTAAGGAGAGGAATGGCCATCATAGTCTTAATTTCAGCATTCAGTTAAAAAATGAATAGGCTTCCGATAACCATTATGTTTGTTTTATGGTTCTGTAACAGACAGAACCAAGTTCCTGTTTAAGTTCCTGACCTTGATGTGATTTTCACCACGTCTTTGTGGCATTTACAGTTGACTTGCTACCTCCCCCTAAAGATCCCATCACCCCAAATAAAAAGACAAAAATGTGTCAATCTCTCACAGATGAATTCATCTTTAGATTCAATTTGACCTTCAATTTATTAACGATTAAGCAGTTGAGTTATTTTGTCTCTGATGAATGTCCAATTTCCCCTTCTCTACTCTGTCTTAGTTTCCATTGACTCCCGAGCACTTCATTGCTCCTCTGTGTTCACCAGCTAGGCGCTAACTTTCTCTCTCTTTAATCAATAAAAGCATTATTGACCGTGGATGAAATGCGTCAATGTGCCTTAATCAGTACAGGTTTATCTGACTGCAGGAAGAGAAGGACACCAGCAGCACTGTCAGACACAAAGAGCAGAGCTTCCCGTGCTGGGACCTGGCCGGGTATGTGATCACCCGGAGAGCACTAATGTACTATTCTGTTGTTTGGTAATAAAGCACGCTTTCATTATCACATTACAGCAAGGCTTACACCTCAGGGTGACTGACAACCGATAGCTATGTTTACTGCTAAGTGCCATTAACGCTCCATTGAACTACATAATGTTTAAGCCATCATTCTGTCGCGTGCTTGAGTCGCACGCCACATTCTCAGTGTAGTTGCCTCTTCGACCCACATGAAACACTGTTCCAAGACGTTATTGACCTCGAAAAACACGAGGCTCACACATAAATCCAACCGCACATTGGATAAGTGAGTATGTGAGCGACAGAACAGGACGCCTGAAGGGTAAGAGAGCTGGAGAAAAGGGGAGAAAGCGATGTCGGATGTGCAGCGGATACGGAGCCGGAGGCAGATGCCACGGTGTTGGGCAGGAAGGTAGGAAGAGGGACGAAGGAACGAGAGAGGAGAATAAATGCAAAGCTACAGGGAAGTCAAGAAAGATTACCAGTGATGAAGTTCAAAGTGAAGAAGGGTAAATCGTGTGTAAGGAACTCCGACAGAGTGCGATGTTTAAGAGGTTTAAAGGTGCAAGGGTGAGAACAGGGGAACAGAGTGCGAGTACAAGGTGCAACTCCCGGTGTCGCACTGCATGAGTGGGGAGCATTTGAAGGACACTCATGGGAGGAGACGTAGCACATTTCATTAAAAGAGCATTTATTGTTCCTCTGCCTCCCCTGGCAAGCTAGCGTCGGACTGGGCTAAAGCAGTTCCTTTCCCCCAAAACCGCTTTGTGAATTAGAAGCCCCTGTCATCCATGAGCTGCACTTCGTTCTCAGCACATAGGTGAGTGTTGACAAAACCTAAAATGAGTCATAAAACATGAACAAAAGGGTTTCGCTTTGATATTCAATTTTTAATCTCTCACACTGCAAACAGGAGGGATTGGCGGTGGCACGCTCAATAGGTCAGGTTGCAGGGAAAGTAAATTAGGCGGAGAGAAAATGGTCTTTCTGAACACTGCAGGTGCTTTAGAGAGAAAGGTTAATGGCTTTATGAGATTGCAATGACATATTATTGCAAACACCCCCAAGCAAACAAATGATTTGATTGCCGTATCGCAGGTTGCAGCGGTTGTGGCGGCCTGTTGTTAATGGAAAAATTAAAGCCATATGCATATGTGTGGTAATTGCGTACAGCTGCATGGACATGTGTAAGTACATGCGTGTTTTCGTTTGTACTCGCATATACGAGTATGCATGTGTGAGTGTTAACACATTTCCCACTTTCCCTCGTTCTCTTCCAATGGAGAAATGCCATAGCCGTAAGCGGCTGAGCCTGCAGGGGCCCAGCACCCTGGGGCCACATTAAAGGGCCTTTGGTCGCTTATGCGTAAAGCTGCACCAATCAAGTACGGCCCACCAGAATGTGCTTCTCGAGGCCCGAAAACATACATAAACGCTGCAGAGGATTTCGCTACAGACCTGCAGCTCCCCCCGGGGCTCCCCAGTGGCAAACCAACCTCAAACACAACACACCTCACGACAGGGAGTGGATGAGTGTTTCCTCGTTGCCAAGGGAGTGCAAAAGGGACTGCGAGCGTCGTCTCACATGTGTTTGCCGCCGACTATCATTGCAGTCAGTAAAAACCCACAGGGTGTGTGTGTGTGTGTGTGTGTGTGTGTGTGTGTGTGTGTGTGTGTGTGTGTGTGTGTGTGTACGTCTTGGTTCTAGGCTCGGTTGTGAGGTCTCCCTGGTGGGCCATTACCTCTGACACTTGTCAAGGGTCTATCAAGTGTAGGACATCAACACCCCCCCTGTACATGAAGACACACGCAGATCCCCCACACGCGCTCACTTTGTCCCGATGTTATCACAGAGGGGAGAGACAATTTTCCGAGATCACGGCCCCAAAGCGGTCTTTCTCTCCCCTCGCTCTCCTCCCTCAGGTAGCTGGATGTGTCCGGAGGTAAAGAGCTCAACGAGCCGACGCCATGTTCTGGCTGATGGACGACAGGCTGGCTCCCCACATGAGCGGAGAAACAGCACTTTCCCTGCCTGTGGGGTTTATCCGAGGAAGTGAATAAACACAACGGCAGTAAATCTTCTCCACAATGAGATCTGGATGCATGCCTGAAAGCGCACGGCATAATTTGGAAATGACTGTTGGGTGGCGCTCGTTATACATGGTGCTTAAGTGTCTGCAGGTTGCAGCATGAAAACAAGCAAAGATGGAGAATAATTCAAAGTTGTTTTAGTTTTTTTATCCTGTGAGAAGGTAATAAGTGGGGAGCAGCTGCTGCCACCACAGTCTTTATCATTTGCATTGATGAGATCAGGGACTGCCGGATGTTAGCTGCTTATTATCCCGTACTGTAAAACGTAAAATAAACAAATTTATAAAGTCCCACCCGCACCCCCTGCAAAAAAAGAATTATTCCTCGGGACCACGTATTGCTGATTAGTGAGTACATATCCCAATGTTTTTGTATATTATATCATGTTTTATCTCCTGTGGTATCACTATTAAGCTCATTTAATACCCTGTTTGGCCCTAGAAATACTGCTGTGATATTTACCCAATATGTTGAGCCTCCTATAGGGATTAGCCACGCAGGCAGGAATAGAGATTTACATGTTCTCTGAGTTGAAAGGGTAAACCACATAGGATGGAGGGAAGCGTATGAGTTAAATATCAATGGAGGAGCTCTTAAGCTGGTTGGCTGAATGATAAAGGGACGGAGGTTAAGGAGATATGCGGCCTGGAAGAATGTATGAGGGGGGAAAAATGGGCGAGTATCCCTTTAATATCGCCTGACGTCATGGTGATGCAGATCTGTCCGGCTAGCGGAGGAGAGGAAGAGGAGGAGGAGAGAGGGATGCCGAAATGAAACTTCTGCTCAGCACTCATTTTCCACATCTCTGAGCAGGAGAAGATGGAGAGCGAAACCTCACCTGTTTCCACCGCCGCTGGACTTGAGCGCTTTCTGTCATCGCGATAAAACTGACGCGAACGCGACGCATCCTTTTTTCTGTTCTTTTTTTCTTCAACAGCACAAAAGCGACCATATTGAGGTCAGAGGAAAGCGTTGCCGGGGCGACCGGCTTGCTGGGGAGGACACTGCGGCGCGCGTCACACGCCGGGGAAACGAGCTCGCGCACGTACGTGTGCGCGCCGGAGCCAGCCGAGGCGGTCACGGGCAGCCACACGGCAGCAGCAGCAGCAGCGGCAGCTTTTCGCACGAGACTACCAGAAGACCGAGCAGTCTGTGCCCGCGCCGTTACGGGGGACAAGTTGGAGCAAGCCGCGGCTCGGACCGGCGCCCTGCGGTGTCCGGAGGTCTCGTTGAGGGGATTTACTGAGGATTTATCGACGACGTCCCAGAAAATAGCTCAAGAACTGAGAAGCTGCGACCGCCGCTCAGCACAGGTGACGCTTCCCGGCTCGCTAATCTGCCGAGACCCCCGCGAACACAAGTTCCGTCGGGCTTATTCGTGTCGTGTTTAGGGCCTCGACCCCCAAAAACAGCCGTTCTTCCGGAGGCAAAGCGGACCGTCGGCCGGTAAATGACTTGGTAACAGTCCGTGCCGGAGGAGAGCGCGCCCGCCCGGATGGGGAGTCACACCGAGCCGCTGTGCCGCCGCGTGGTGCCGGAGAACAGCCCTTCATCCTAGACCCCCGGTGTCCACTGCCCCCCCGTGTCCGGGCATGAAGTCCCACCTGCTGGCCCGGCTGGAGTGATCGAGATAGTGCTGTCGGGGAGGCGGCGGGTGGGGGGGGGGGGGGTTCAGGTAGAGGGGGTGGGAGTGAGATTTTTAAAGGTGGTGTTCTTTTTTTTTTTTTTTTTTTTTATTCAACGAGTAGCAAGTAGGCTGGAAATTGACCACCGGTGGTGGAAGGTCTGGTGAAGAAGAGGAGGAGGAGGAATCATCAGTGGGAATCTGGCAGCCCTCAAGCAGCAGGATCCCAATCTAACAGGTATGAGCTGAGGTTGTTTGCTGTGCATTGTACGAGAGCATTGCTCGAAATGTGTTTTTCAAACCTATAAAAATCCAATGATGAATTGAGAGATCACAATAATGAATAATTGGGCTATGTCAACAAACATTTTTTATGTATTTGCTGTCTAGACATACATTTAAAAAACAGGAAAAGACAAAAAAGGAGACACATAATGTCAACAGGCGGAAAAAAAACCATTTGCAGTTATCCAACATGTAAGCAAGGAATAACTTGCATCCTGCACTTGAGCAGGTTTTGGTCCACATGTGTGATTCTGCAGCATTTCTTTCTGCGTCTTGTATGGATGATGTGTTTTTGCTGGTCTGCCGATGTCAAACCTGTTGAGAGCCGTGCTGCTCCTTCACGGCAGCAGAGACGTGTCGTCTCTCTAACGAGGACCTGGACTCCTCTGGTGGAATGACGGAAAAACCGAGGCTGCCGTTCACTCAGGCCAGGCTCGCCGCTCGGCCCTCGTCCTCCTCGTCCTCCTCCTCCTCCTCCTCCGCATGCACAATGTGAAGCTTATTAATCATCTCGCTGAGATGGCAACAGTGCCAGATAAGTCTGGGCGCATATGGCGATCATTGTGCACTTCTTGGACAGTGTATCGTCTGGAATGGCAGTGAAAGGGACTTGGAATGGACGGCTAATTTTACAAGGCAACCGGCATGTGTCGCTCAGATGTTTGTAAGGATGCTCACACACACACACACACACACACACACACACACACACACACACACACACACACACACACAAAGGCCCCTATTCAAAAGTTAAATCATCCTTCAACTCAAAATGAGCATAGCTTCATATTCTGAAGACCCAGGAAACTCCAAGGCGATGAGAACATATTCCCTTAAATGCTCCCCTCTATACACACACGCACACACACACAAATATAGGTGCACACACACACAGCACGAAGAATGGGGTGCATTTATATGCGGTGGCGGGGGTTGTGGGGCATTGGGCTCGGCAGGGCCTGTGAGATGATAGGATTCAGCCGGGACAAGAAGACCTCTGTCCTTATCTGCGTCGATGAGAAAAGGAAGGCAGCTCCGCTCAGCCCGGCTTTTCCCCTCGGTTTTAGGCAGCTAGTCTGCCCCAGATTCGGACATCTCATCTTTTAATGGAGGAGGAGGGTTTGGGGGCGGGGGGGGCGACTGTCCCTGTGCTAAATAGATGTTGTCAAAGACGGGTTGCTGTTTATCTCGACGCCCGCCGGCTGTAAACTTTGCACACCTGTGGAAGACATTTAAGGAGGATAAGGTGACCCGCTCATGCATTGTAGGGAGGGATTGGAGGTATCTGGGCGAGGATGCGGGGGGGGGTGCGGCGGTGCAACTTGTGTACAAATCCGCTTTGGCTTTGCTGCTGATTCACAATACGCTCTCAGAAAGTAAAAAAACTGGGCGGCCTTCTCCAGGAGGCCTGCACACGCCGCTCTGTGTGTGGGACCATCCTCCACTGTTTCTTTTTTTTGGGATTCCGGAGCCCATTCATGAAAACCCCCCCCCCCCCCCCCCCGCGGACATCGCTCAGCGCCATCCATCCTGGGCAAGGAGCAGCGAAGCCGGAGGCAGACGGGGGCCCGAGCATTTAGAGCGCGTTGTCGGCTAGATGGATGGCTCCTAGCGCGGGTCGCTAAGCAGTCAAAAGATGCAGGCGTGCGCTGTGACAGGGTGGCTTGGAATAGTCATTGCAAGCTCACTTTAAAACAGCCCTGTCTGTTTGCTAATTTTATCCCTCACTATTTATAGTTTTTAACTGCAGATGAATTGCTGACAGTGTCCTCTGACGGCCGAGACGGCAGCGGTGGCCGCTAATGTCAGTTGAGGGACCCAATTCTTTGGCATTATGGCAGCTGACATGTTGACTGGAGAGCTGGGGACTCATCTGATGAACGCTGGTGGAATGAAATGTTTTGTTCAGTTCAAGTCAGTGTGAATTAGTGAGAAATGGTTCCTGTCACTTCTGTTATGTGAAGCAGAATAAGGAAACGGGGGTTGGATGTGTGCCAGCCACTGCTTTGAAGGCAGAGAGATGCACTTAATTACCCAACAACTAATATGTCTTTCATAGCCGTGCAACCGTGGTCTAATATTTTGCCTAAAAGTGTGTGACATGTACTTGGTGTTGTAACCGCATCTGCGTTACCGAGCACAAAACCAAGCTAATTGAATAAAACGGCTCCACAACGGATGCTATTTATTATTTTTTTTATTGAGCAGGGCTTGTTAATTGATAACGAGCTGTTCACAAAAGCAACATGCCTCTTGTTCTCCCCACGCAACCGCCCATGTGTTCGGGATCACCAGTGGGCCGCCGCTCTTGGTGTTGACTTTTGGACGGCATACTTTTGCGCGACTCCTTTTCGTGCCTTTATTCCTCGTTCGTGTATTAATTCGTTTCTCTTCTCCATGCATTTGTAGCTGACTCATTCATTTGGTTCAAAGGGAGACCGGCTGTTTTCTTTCCCTTTTTCTTCTGAGAAAAGGAGTGTGTTTATGTGTGTCGTTGCTATGGCAGCCTCTTTTTGGAAGGATAAACCCTGCAAAGACTTTAAACCTGAAGCTTTTGTTTGGCTTTCAGTGGCTTGTATGTGTGCTCTCACATTTGTCAGTGTGTATTAAAGCTACAAAATTAATCAAGAGCCAGCTGACATTACCATATCGACTGCTGCAATGTCCAAATTGCTGCCTGCTGCATTTTCCCCCCCATATGATAAAGCCCAGTAAAGCGTGTTCTCTGGTGCTGTGCACAATCCTGACATGAAATCGTTACACCCAAATGTTTTATTCCAATGAAAAATAAGCAAACCTAAGCAGACGGATAGGCATATCTTATTTACTCCAATTATTTTGCCGCGAGGAAAGAAGGCAAAAGTTAATACTGTGCAGTAACTTTTGCATAGGCCCTTCAATCCTGGAAATGACTGAACGAGTAAAAGCAAGAGATGAAATGATATATATCGGCACTTCTCTCAGAGTACCGGTCTCCCACAGCCCCCCCCCCCCACCCCCACCCACCGTGGCTCATCTCCCTCTGCTTTGTATCAGCCTGGTGAATGAGATCCCTGCTCTCTGGGGTGCAGATGGAGACAAGGGGTTGAAACCATTACTCCTCTGAGCTTTGGTTATCTTCCTTCTTCTTACTATGAGAAAATGTTCCGCTCTTTCGTTTGTGTGTCACGTCTCATGTCTTTCCCACACGGACTCTCCGACTGTTCTCCTCCCGTTTGCCTTCAAACCCACATGGCTGAAGTCAACCTGCTGGCCCCTGCGGGCTCATCAAGGTTGGATCAAGGTCGAACGCTCCCTGATACATTTTTATCTAAAAGAAAAAGGAAAAGGTTACTTCTTGAGTCACGAGCCAACAGCGGTGGCAACCTTCGAGTTGCCACTCCTCCCCACGTCCCGCTGGAACCAGGCCGACCACCGGCCGACCACCGGCCAAGATCAATGAACATGAACTCCTCTTTTCTTCAAAGAGATAAAGGCCAAGATCAGACCTGCGGTGCAGGTGGTTGGTCACAGCTTCACATTCCCTCACACAATAGAAAATCTCAAGCCTGCGCGCTGTTGGGTCGGGTCCTGCATAGAAAGTACGATACAGATTTGATGGAATCAACGGCACTGGAGTCAGCATCAGCCGGGATTAAATACATCCTGCTTCCCAGCCAATCAGATTGACTGACGGTCAGAATCCGTGTTGCTCCGAGCAGAGCAGCTGATCCCTCTGGCAACCTGAGAGCCCCCCCCCCCTCGCTGTATTTCTCAGGCGCAACCATGGGAACGGTACCTGTGTGCTTTGTTTTTGTCCTCAATACCCCTTTGCAATCCCTTTTATATCCTGAGATTTAATACAGGAATTTTATATCAACATTTGGCGATTAGTGTTTATAGAATATCCTTTTTTTTATTGGTGTGTGTGTGTGTGTGTGTGTGTGTGTGTGTGTCCCAATCCCTTCTTGTTATTCAGTCTTGTGCGGGTCATCTTTGCTCTGGAAGCACGTGCCACTGGTTACATCCGGCCATCGATGAGACTCAGGGAAGTGGAGTGAGTTATGGTATTGACAGCATCTCAAGGTCAGGAGTGGCCACATCCCCCCCCGCCCCCCCTCCTGTGGGGGCTCCACAGCAAACCCATCAGCATCGCAAGCGGATGCAGGCAGGCAGTCAGGGACGCTGGCTGCTATGTACCTGCCCTCTTACCCCGGACACAAACAGAGAGAGGAGGAGGACACGATGTGCTCTGAAAGTCAAGTGTGTCACAAGCGGAGGTCAAAACCTGGAGAGGCAACAGGAGGCCGTTTGAGAAAAGCGAGCTGTGAAGGAGCACAATGTACACCAGAGAGAGAGAGAAGAATGCCACAACATCACAACACCACCGTCTCTGTTTTGCTCTCTCAACATCTGCTGAATGCAACCTCTTCCCCGCCGTTGCGCACACATTAGTATTGGCTGACACACCAGCACACATATTAGTATGAGCTGTCAGCGGAAGCCCTAACAACTGGCTGGAGAAAAACCCGCTGAATGGCAACGCTGGCGAAAGCAGGCTGCAGCAGCGTCGGCCAACGAGCTGAAGTGTTATCACCGCGTCTGCACAGCATAATGACGAGGATTGTTATAAAACACACACTAGCGCCGCTGCTTGCGCGTGTGTCGCTGCTTCAGTACAACGAAATGAGCCGCCGCGGGGGCGTAGTTCGCGGCCGACCGGCGACGCAGTCCCCCGGAACTTGATGTCCGACCGTTGCATAAGTGGCGGTGGGTGGAAGACGTAGCGCGGTCAGCAACATAGCCCCCCGCCTCCTCTGCCGCCGCGACGTTTGTCGCGAAGGCGCTGATGTGTTGAGCAACACCCGCTCCAGTTGATGCATTGTAGGGGCTGCCGGGGTTTTGGCAGACGCTAATGAAAAGAATAGGCCCACGTAGTGAATTAGGATGTCTCTTTCCTGACAGTCCATT